AGGGAGCCTGGGGGGCCGGGGCGGGGGGGGACACCCCCCGCACTCCCAGAGCGCCGAGGGTGGCGCTGGGGGGGGGCTGGAGGGGCCATGGACCCCGTCCCGCCCCCTCCTTCCCTGAAAGTGGGGTGGGTCATGCGTGTCTGCTGCGTGTGTACCGCGTGTGCGCTGCATCCCACGTGTGGTGCCACCTCACCCGTGGCGTGGGCCGCGTGCCCCGTGTGCAGGGAGCCCGTGGGCAGTCTCCCATGTGTGCGCGGGGACTCATGTGCTCTGTGTCCTGTGGGCAGTGTCCCGTGTATGGTGCGTGTCCCGTGTGCAGGGTCTCGTGTATGGTGTGTGTCCTGTGGGCAGTGTCCCGTGTACGGTGCGTGTCTCGTGCGCAGGGTCCCCACGGGTGCAGTGCGTGTGCAGGGAGCCCATGGGCAATCTCCCATGCGTGTGCGGGGACTCGTGTGCTCTGCGTGTCCTGTGGGCAGTGTCCATGTATGGTGCGTGTCCTGTGGGCAGTGTCCCGTGTACGGTGTGTGTCCCATGTGCAGGGTCTCTACACGTGCAGTGCGTGTGCAGGGAGCCTGTAGGCAGTCTCCCACGTGTGTGCAGGGTCTCATGTGCACAGTGCGTGTCCTGTGTGCAGTGTCCCATGTACGGTGCGTGTCCCGTGTGCAGGGTCTCATGTACGGTGCGTGTCCCATGTGCAGGGTCTCCACGCATGCAGTGTGTGTGCAGGGAGCCCATGGGCAATCTCCCACGTGTGTATGGGGGCTCGTGTGCTCCGCGTGTCCCGTGTGCAGTGTCCCATGTACGGTGCGTGTCCCGTGGGCAGGGTCTCATGTACAGTGTGTGTCCCATGTGCAGGGTCTCCACACGTGCAGTGCGTGTGCAGGGAGCCCGTGGGCAATCTCCCACGTGTGTGCAGGGACTCGTGTGCTCTGCGTGTCCTGTGGGCAGTGTCCCGTGTACGGTGCACGTGCCCTGCGCAGCGATGTGCACGTACGCAGTGCGTGTGCAGGGAGCCCGTGGGCAGTCTCCCACGTGTGTGCAGTGTCCCATGTGCAGTGCATGTCCCATGTGCAGGGTCTCCACACGTGCAGTGCACGTGGGCAGGGAGCCCGTGGGGAGTCTCCCATGTGTGTACAGGGACTCGTGTGCTCTGCGTGTCCCGTGGGCAGTGTCCCATGTTCGGTGCATGTCCCACGCGCGGTGTTTCCACACATGCAGTGCGTGTGCAGTGTGGCAGTGTGCTGCTCTGTGCCGTGGTGGGGCTCCCACGTGCTGTGTGTGCAGTGTCGTGTATGTGCGTGTGCCCAGTGTGCGCGCATGCAAGGCTGTGGTGCCAGCACACTGTGTGTGTGTGTGTGCGCGCGCGCACACGTGTGCACACACCGTGTCTGTGTGTGGGTGCATTGTCTCCGTGTCCAGCGCCTGCCCTGCCCGTGCAAGGGGCTGCAGTGCTGGTGCAGTGCCGGTGCAGTGCCGGTGCCAGGACAGGGCACTGCCCATGGCGCCACCCCCGGGCGGTGACAGCGTGCAGTGCCGCACAGTGCTGATGCAGTGCGCGTGGTGCTGGTGCCAGTGCGGTGCCAGTGGCCACGCAGTGCTGCTCCCCACGCAGTGCCCGTTGGTCCCGGTGCAGTGCCGGGTCCTGTGCAGTGTTGGTTCCCGTGTTGTGCCACTGCTGATGCAGCGCCGGTCCCCGTGCAGTGCTGTGTCCTCTGCAGTGCCAGTGCGCTGTTGGTCCCCATGCGGTGCCAGTCCCCCACGCAGTGCGGGTCCCATGCAGTGCTGGTGTAGTGTCAGTGCCACGCAGTGCCTGTGCCGTCCTGGTGCCGGTGCTGCGCAGTGCTGTGCAGTGCAGCGCGAGTGCCAGTCCCGGTGCTGGGGATGTGCAGTGACAGTGCCAGCGCACTCCTGGTCCCATGCAGTGCCAGTCTGGTGCAATGCCGGTGTTGGTGCAGTGCCGGTGCAGTGCCAGTCCCGGTGCAGTGCCAGTCCTGGTGCTGTGCAGTGCTGTGCAGTGCCAGTGCCATTCCGGTGCAGTCCAATGCCTGTGCTCTGCCGGTCCCAGTCCCAATGCAGTCCTGGTGTGGCACCAGTGCAGTGCCGGTCCCAGTCCTGGTGCAGTGCCATTCCCAGTGCCGGTGCAGTGCCATTCTCAGTGCCAGTGCAGTGCCGGTCCCAGTGCCATTCCTAGTGCAGTGCTGGTTCCAGTGTTGGGTCAGTGCCATTCCCAGTGCCGTTCCCAGTCACAGTGCAGTGCCATTCTCAGTCCCGGTGCAGTGCCATTCCACTGCCGGTCCCAGTGCCATTCCCAGTGCTGGTCCCAGTGCCTTTCCCAGTGCCAGTCCCAATCCCAGTGCAGTGCCGTTCCCAGTCCCCGTGCAGTGCCATTCCCAGTGCCGTTTCCAGTCCCAGTGCAGTGCCGGTCCCAGTCCTGGTGCAGTGCTGTTCCCACTCCCAATGCAGTGCTATTCCCAGTACCGTTCCCAGTCCCAGTGCAGTGCCGGTCCCAGTGCCTGTCCCAGCCCCGCTGCAGTGCTCGTCCTAGTGCCGTTCCCAGTCCCCGTGCAGTGCCATTCCCAGTGCCGTTTCCCGTCCCAGCTGGGGCCACCTCCCAGTGCCTGTCCCAGTCCCGCTGCAGTGCTCGTCCTAGTGCCGTTCCCAGTCCCCGTGCAGTGCTGTTCCCAGTCCCGCTGCAGTGCCATTCCCAGTGCCATTCCAGTCCCAGTGCAGTGCCGTTCCCAGTGCCGTTCCCAGTGCCACCTCCAGTGCCGTTCCCAGTCTCAGTGCAGTGTCAGTCCCAGTGCCGTTCCCAGTGCCATTCCCAGCGCCGTTCCCGGTCCCAGCG